CACATAGAGACTCACAGAGACCACATATAGACACATAGAGACCCACAAAGACTCACAGAGACCACATAGAGACCACATAGAGACACATAGTACAGTTTACAAGACCAAGGTGGAGGGGGAGAAATATGTAACGAGGTGACACTGACGGCTGCGTTGCAGTGGAGCCAACGTCGAGTGGAGCTGCTACAAGACACGGGTCAGGCTGGAGTACCAAGCCTACCTCTCTGATCTCAAGTGGAGCTGCTACAAGGCACGGGTCAGGGTGGAGTACCAAGCCTACCACTCTGACGTCGTGTGGAGCTGCTGGTGGCACGGGCCAGGATGGAGCACCAGGCCTACCGCTGTGACGTCGTGTGGAGCTGCTACAAGGCACGGGTCAGGATGGAGCACCAGGCCTACCTCCCTGACGTGGAGTGGAGCTGCTACAAGGCACGTTTCAGGATGGAGCACCACGCCTACCACTCTGACGTCGAGTGGAGCTGCTACAAGGCACGGGCCAGGATGGAGCACCACGCCTACCACTCTGACGTGGAGTGGAGTTGCTACAAGGCATGGGCCAGGATGGAGCACCACGCCTACCACTCTGACGTGGAGTGGAGTTGCTACAAGGCACGGGTCAGGATGGAGCACCAGGCCTACCTCTCTGACGTCGAGTGGAGCTGCTACAAGGCACGGGTCAGGGTGGAGCACCAGGCCTACCTCTCTGACGTCGAGTGGAGCTGCTCGTGGCACGGGCCAGGGTGGAGCACCAGGCCTACCTCTGTGGCGTCGAGTGGAGCTGCTGGTGGCACGAGTCAGCGTGGAGCACCACGCCTACCACTCTGACACCCTTCGATCTTCTGGTCAAGTCGCGTGAATTAAAAAATTAATGATGAATCACGACGTTTCGATTCGCACCGCGAGCAATCGTCCTCAGGCGAGAGAGAGCCCCTCGCCGATGGAAACGTCGCGATCCGTGGAATAGTTTTTGTTCACGTGCCTTGACTGGAACACCCGACACCAGCAATCGTCCTCAGGCGAGAGAGCCCCTCGCCGATGGAAACGTCGCGATCCGTGAATAGTTTTTGTTCACGTGCCTTGACGGGAACACCCAACACCAACAATCGTCCTCAGGCGAGAGAGCCCTCGCCGGTCAAAGCGTCGTGATCCATTAATAGTTTCTATTCACGCGCCTTGACGGACACACCCAACACCAGCTATCGTCCTCAGGCGAGATAGCCCCTCGCCGATGGAAACGTCGCGATCCGTGAATAGTTTTTGTTCACGTGCCTTGACGGGAACACCCGACACCAGCAATCGTCCTCCGGCGAGAGAGAGCCCCTCGGGCCTGAAGACGATTTCCCCGCGTCGCCGATCGAAGCGTCGCGACCCGTGAACAGTTTTTCGCTTTGCGCGCCTTGCCGGGAGCACTCCCAAGGAGCATGAGTTCCACGCTGGTGTTTCAGGGGACCTGGTCTCTTCCACGGCGTGGAGGGCGCCCTCACGATCACCTCCAGGGGCGTCCGCTCATCGCCGCCGAATCTAGCGTCACGGCGCCTGTGGATGTTCCGTGTTGCGTGGCCATTCCGTTCAGCTGGCGACTTGTGCGTGTCGTGTCGCAGTCGCCTCCACCGCTGTTGATGCTGGCGGCGATTGGAAGTTGTTTTGAAAGTCAAAAGCCACTCTCTCAGCCTCTCTCTCTCTCGCTATCTCTCCGTCTCTATCTCTCACTCTCTAGCTCTCTATCTCTCTCATTCCTCAGTCTCTCTCACGTTCTATCGCTCTCACTCTCTATCTCTCTCACTCTCAGTCTCTCTCACTCTCTATCTCACTCTCTATCTCTCTATCTCTCTCACTCTCTCACTCTCTCTATCTCTCTCTCGCTATCTCTCTCATTCTCAGTCTCTCTCTCGCTATCTCTCTCACTCTCTATCTCTCTCATTCTCAGTCTCTCTCTCGCTATCTCTCTCAGTCTCTATCTCTCTCACTCTCTATCTCTCTCATTCTCAGTCTCTCTCACGTTCTATCTCTCTCACTCTCTATCTCTCTCATTCTCAGTCTCTCTCTCGCTATCTCTCTCACTCTCTATCTCTCACTCTCTATCTCTCTCATTCTCAGTCTCTCTCTCGCTATCCTCTCTCACTCTCTATCTCTCTCACTCTCTCTATCTCTCTATCTCTCTCTATCTCTCTCCCCCTCTTTCTCTATCTCACTCTCTATCACTCTCACTCACTATCTCTCTCACTCTCTATCTCTCTATCTCTATCACTCTCACTCACTATCTCTCTCACTCTCTATCTCTCTCACTCTCTATCTCTCTCTATCTCTCTCCCCCTCTTTCTCTATCACTCTCACTCACTATCTCTCTCATTCTCTATCTCTCTCACTCTCTATCACTCTCACTCACTCTCTCTCTCTCTCACTCACTATCTCTCTCACTCTCTCTCTCACTCACTATCTCTCTCACTCTCTATCTCTCTATCTCTCTCACTCTCTCAGTCTCACTCTCTCTCTCACTCTCTCTCTCACTCTCTATCTCTCTCACTCACTATCTCTCTCTATCACTCTCTCAGTCTCACTCTCACTCTCTCTCACTCTCTATATCTCTCACTCTCTCTCACTCTCTCTCACTCTCTATCTCTCTCACTATCTCTCTCACTCACTCTCTCTCTCACTCTCACTCTCTCTCACTCTCTCACTCTCTATCTCTCTCACTCTCTCTCACTCTCTATCTCTCTCACTCTCTCTCACTCACTATCTCTCTCTATCTCTCTCACTCTCTATATCTCTCACTCTCTATCACTCTCTATCTCCTCTCACTATCTCTCACTCACTATCTCTCTCACTCTCTCTCACTCACTATCTCTCTCACTCTCTATCACTCTCACTTTTTTACGATCTCAGGAATCAAGAAGATGATCGGTTTATTTGCCACTTTGCTCCGTTCAGCGTTTTGGTCTTTTTGTTTTAATGCTTTGATTTATGTAACCCCCCTTATTTTTTTAATGTAATATTTAACAAAATATTTCACTTTTGATTTAAAGCTTTCGTGACTGCAGGGATTCATATTCTTGGTTCTTTCGGTAAAGTCACCACCGCGTAGAAGGGAAACAATAAAATAATAAAAATATAAAACAATACAATTTTTGTAAAACAATAAAAATTTTATTCTTGGTTCTTTCGGGTAAAGTTGCCACCACGTAGATAGGGAAACAATAAAATAATAAAAATATAAAACAATAAAGTTATTGTAAAACAATAAAATTATTATTCTTGGTTCTTTCGGTAAAGTCACCACCACGTAGAAGGGGAACAATAAAATAATAAAAAATATAAAACAATAATATTATTGTAAAACAATACAATTATTATTCTTGGTTTTTTCGGGTAAAGTCACCACCTACGTAAAAGGGAAACAATAAAATAATAAAAATATATAAAACAATACAATTATTGTAAAACAATACAATTATTATTCTTGGTTCTTTCGGTAAAGTCACCACCACGTAGAAGGGAAACAATAAAATAATAAAATATTAAACAATACAATTATTGTAAAACAATACAATTATTATTCTTGGTTCTTTCGGTAAGTCACCACCACGTAGATAGGGAAACAATAAAAATAATAAAAATGTAAAACAATAAAAGTAGTATTCTTGGTTCTTTCGGTAAAGTCACCACCACGTAGAAGGGAAACAATAAAATAATAAAAATATAAAACCATACAATTTTTGTAAAACAATAAAATTATTATTCTTGGTTCTTTCGGTAAAGTCACCACCACGTAGAAGGGAAACAATAAATAATAAAAATATATAAAACAATACAATTATTGTAAAACAATACAATTATTATTCTTGGTTCTTTCGGTAAAGTCACCACCACGTAGAAGGGAAACAATAAAATAATAAAATATTAAACAATACAATTATTGTAAAACAATACAATTATTATTCTTGGTTCTTTCGGTAAAGTCACCACCACGTAGATAGGGAAACAATAAAATAATAAAATGTAAAACAATAAAATTAGTATTCTTGGTTCTTTCGGTAAAGTCACCACCACGTAGAAGGGAAACAATAAAATAATAAAAATATAAAACAATACAATTTTTGTAAAACAATAAAATTATTATTCTTGGTTCTTTCGGTAAAGTCACCACCACGTAGAAGGGAAACAATAAAAGAATAAAATATAAAACAATACAATTATTGTAAAATAATAAAATTATTATTCTTGGTTCTTTCGCTAAAGTCACCACCACGTAGAAGGGAAACAATAAAAATAATAAAAATATAAAACACAATAAAATTATTGTAAAACAATAAAATTATTATTCTTGGTTCTTTCGGTAAAGTCACCACCACGTAGAAGGGAAACAATAAAATAAATATAAAACAATACAATTATTGTAAAACAATAAAATTATTATTCTTGGTTCTTTCGGTAAAGTCACCACCACGTAGAAGGGAAACAATAAAATAAAATATAAAACAATACAATTATTGTAAAACAATAAAATTAGTATCCTTGGTTCTTTCGGTAAAGTCACCACCACGTAGAAGGGAAACAATAAAATAATAAAAATATGAAATAAAATTGTTTCATGCTGTGCTTTTCACACCTGATGATGATTGCTGCTTTGTGTTGCAGTCGAAACGTCGTGAGAATTTTATTGTTTTAGATTTTTATTTTATTTTATTGTTTCCCTTCTACGTGGTGGTTTTCACACCTGATGATGATTGCTGCTTTGTGTTGCAGTCGAAACGTCGTGAGAATTTTATTGTTTTATATTTTTTTATATTTTATTGGTTCCCTTCTACGTGGTGGTTTTCACACCTGATGATGATTGCTGCTGCTGTGTGTTGCAGTCGAAACGTCGTGAGAATTTTATTGTTTTAGATTATTTTATTATTTTATTGTTTTATATATTATTATTATTGTTTCCCTTCTACGCGACTACTTTATCGAACGAACCAAGAATATAAAAGATTTCACGTTCTTCCCCCTCTCTCTCTCTCTCTCCATCTCCACCTCCCTCCCTCCCTCCTTTACTCCGAACTAACTCATGGTGGCGGTCATTCCGCATGCTCAAGATTTCCAATCTGCAACCCTAAAAGCCACTTCCTCCACCACCACCTCCACCTCCACCACCACCTCCTCGTTCCGTGACGCGTCCAGGATTATACCGCTGCTGTACAAACCCCCAAGGCTCGCGGACCGGCGTGAGTGTATAAATATTATTGCGCGGCGATCAAATCGTCAGCTGCAGTTGCACAAGCGACTCTCAGTATCTCTCATTCTCTCTCCATCACTCGCTCGTTCGCTCGTTCACTCACTCGCTCGCTCTCCTCATTCACTCACTCACTCGCTCTCTCATTCACTCACATCGCTCGCTTTATATATCTCTCTCTCTCTCATCAAAATCTCCAACTCATTCACTCTCTCCATCTCTCGCTCATTCACTCTCTCGAAATCTCCAACTCATTCACTCTCCTCTCTCTCTCTCCATCTCACCCCACTCTCTCTCTCTCTCTCTCAAAACTCCAACTCATTCACTCTCATCTCTCCTCTCTGTCTCTATCTCGAGAGAAGTCTCTCTCGAAAGCCCCAGAGTCGAACTCGGCTGAACCTGCAGCTTCAATGTCTCACAAGTCCAAGATGCTGGGGCTGGTGCTGCCACCACTTCTGCTGCTGCTGCTCCTGCAAGGCGCTGAGGGTGAGTAAGGCAGCCAGCCAGCCAGCAAACCTGGAGTCCCTCTACCCACGTCTCACACTCTCCCCCCGTGTCTCTCTCTCCCCGTGTGTGTCTCTTTCTCCCCGTGTCTCTCTCCACGTGTCTCTCTCTCCACGTGTCTCTCTCTCTCTCTGTCTCTCTCTCCCCGTGTCTCTCCCCCCGTGTCTCTCTCTCTCTCTGTCTCTCTCTGTGTCTCTCTCCATGTGTCTCTCTCTCCCCGTGTGTCTCTCTCCATGAGTCTCTCTTTCCCCGTGTCTCTCTCTCTCTGTCTCTATCCATGTGTCTCTCTCTCCCCGTGTCTCTCTCCCCGTGTCTCTCTCCCCGTGTCTCTCTCTCCCCATGTCTCTCTCCATGTGTCTCTCTCCCCGTGTCTCTCTCTCTCTGTGTCTCTCTCCATGTTTCTCTCTCTCCCCGTGTCTCTCTCCCCCCGTGTCTCTCCCCGTGTCTCTCCCCCCGTGTCTCTCCCTGTGTCTCTCTCCCCGTGTCTCTCTCTCCCCGTGTCTCTCTCCCAGTGTCTCTCCACCCGTGTCTCTCTCCCCGTGTCTCTTTCCCCGTGTCTCTCTCCCCCGTGTATCTCTCCCCGTGTCTCTCTCTCCCCGTGTCTCTTTCCCCGTGTCCTCTCTCCCCCGTGTCTCTCTCCCCGTGTCTCTCACCCCGTGTCTTTCTCTCCCCGTGTCTCTCTCCCCGTGTCTCTCTCTCCCCGTGTCTCTCTCTCCCCATGTCTCTCTCCATGTGTCTCTCTCCCCGTGTCTCTCTCTCTCTCTGTGTCCTCTCTCCATGTTTCTCTCTCTCCCCGTGTCTCTCTCCCCCCGTGTCTCTCCCCGTGTCTCTCCCTGTGTCTCTCTCCCCGTGTCTCTCTCATCCCCGTGTCTCTCTCCCCGTGTCTCTCCACCCGTGTCTCTCTCCCCGGTCTCTCTCCCCGCGTCTCTCTCTCCCCGTGTCTCTCTCTCCCCGTGTCTCTCTCCCCGTGTCTCTCTCTCCCGTGTCTCTCCCCCCGTGTCCTCTCTCCCCGTGTCTCTCTCTCCCCGTGTCTCTCTCCCCGTGTCTCTCTCCCCCTGTCTCTCTCTCCCCGTGTCTCTCTCCCCGTGTCTCTCTCTCCGTGTCTCCCTCCTCGTGTCTCTCTCCCCGTGTCTCTCTCCCCGCGTGTCTCTCTCCCGGTGTCTCTCTCTCCCCGTGTCTCTCCCCCCGTGTCTCTCTCCCCGTGTTTCTCTCTCCCCGTGTCTCTCTCTCCCAGTGTCTCTCTCTCCCCGTGTCTCTCCCCCCGTGTCTCTCTCCCCGTGTCTCTCTCTCCCCGTGTCTCTTTCCCCGTGTCTCTCTCCCCCCGTGTCTCTCTCCCCGTGTCTCTCACCCCGTGTCTCTCTCTCCCCGTGTCTCTCTCCCCGTGTCTCTCTCCCCGTGTCTCTCTTTCCCTGTGTCTCTCTCCCCGTGTCTCTCTCTCCCCGTGTCTCTCTCTCCCGTGTCTCTCTCCCCGTGTGTCTTTCCCCGTGTTTCTCTCTCCCCGTGTCTCTCTCCCCATGTCTCCCCGTGTCTTTCTCCCCGTGTCTCTCTCCCAGTGTCTCTCTCTCTCCCGTGTCTCTCTTCCCATGTCTCTCTCCCCGTGTCTCTCTCCCCATGTCTCTCTCTCCCCGTGTCTCTCTCCCCGTGTCTGCTCTCTCCCCGTGTCTGCCCACTCCCCGTGGTCTCTCACACCCCGTGTCTCTCTCCATATGTCTCCCGTGTTTCTCCCTCACCGTATCTCTCACCCCGTGTCTCTCTCCCCACGTCTCTCTCCCCAACGTCTCTCTCTCCGTGTCTCTCTCTCGCCGTGTCTCTCTCTCATGTCTCCCCGTGTCTCTCTCACCGTGTCTCTCTCACCGTGTCTCTCTCCCCCGTGTCTCCCTCCCGTGTCTCTCTCTCTCTCCGTGTCTCTGTCTCTCCGTGTCTCTCCTCCCGTGTCTCTCTCTCATGTCTCCCCGTGTCTCTCTCCCCGTGTCTTTCTCCCCATGTCTCTCTCTCCCCGTGTCTCTCACCCCGTGTCTCTCTCTCTCCGCGTGTCTCTCTCTCCCGTGTCTCTCTCTCCCCGTGTCTCTCTCTCCCGTGTCTCTCTCCTCATGTCTCTCCGTGTCTCTCTACCCGTCTCCCACTCCCCGTGTCTCTCTCTCCCTGTGTCTCTCTCCCCGTGTCTCTCTCCCCATGTCTCCCCATGTCTCTCTCCCGTGTCTCTCTCCCCATGTCTCCCCGTGTCTCTCTCCCAGTGTCTCTCTCCCCGTGTCTCTCTACCCGTGTCTATCTCCCCGTGTATCTCTCTCCGTGTCTCTCTCTCCCCGTGTATCTCTCTCCCCGTGTCTCTCTCTCCGTGTCTCTCTCTCCCCGTGTCTCTCTCTCCCCGTGTCTCTCTCCCCGTGTCTCTCTCTCCCCATGTCTCTCTCTCCCCGTGTCTCTCACCCCGTGTCTCTCTCTCCCCGTGTCTCTCTCCCCGTGTCTCTCTCTCCCCGTGTCTCTCACCCCGTGTCTCTCTCGCCCCGTGTCTCTCTCTCCCCGTGTCTTTCCTCCCCGTGTCTCTCTCTCCCCGTGTGTGTCTCTTTCTCCCCGTGTCTCTCTCCACGTGTCTCTCTCTCCACGTGTCTCTCTCTCTCTCTGTCTCTCTCATCCCCGTGTCTCTCCCCCGTGTCTCTCTCTCTCTCTGTCTCTCTCTGTGTCTCTCTCCATGTGTCTCTCTCTCCCCGTGTGTCTCTCTCCATGAGTCTCTCTTTCCCCGTGTCTCTCTCTCTCTGTCTCTATCCATGTGTCTCTCTCTCCCCGTGTCTCTCTCCCCGTGTCCTCTCTCCCCGTGTCTCTCTCTCCCCATGTCTCTCTCCATGTGTCTCTCTCCCCGTGTCTCTCTCTCTCTGTGTCTCTCTCCATGTTTCTCTCTCTCCCCGTGTCTCTCTCCCCCCGTGTCTCTCCCCGTGTCTCTCCCCCCGTGTCTCTCCCTGTGTCTCTCTCCCCGTGTCTCTCTCTCCCCGTGTCTCTCTCCCAGTGTCTCTCCACCCGTGTCTCTCTCCCCGTGTCTCTTTCCCCGTGTCTCTCTCCCCCGTGTATCTCTCCCCGTGTCCTCTCTCTCCCCGTGTCTCTTTCCCCGTGTCTCTCTCCCCCGGGTCTCTCTCCCCGTGTCTCTCACCCCGTGTCTTTCTCTCCCGTGTCTCTCTCCCCGTGTCTCTCTCTCCCCGTGTCTCTCTCTCCCCATGTCTCTCTCCATGTGTCTCTCTCCCCGTGTCTCTCTCTCTCTCTGTGTCTCTCTCCATGTTTCTCTCTCTCCCCGTGTCTCTCTCCCCCCGTGTCTCTCCCCGTGTCTCTCCCTGTGTCTCTCTCCCCGTGTCTCTCTCTCCCCGTGTCTCTCTCCCCGTGTCTCTCCACCCGTGTCTCTCTCCCCGTGTCTCTCTCCCCGCGTCTCTCTCTCCCCGTGTCTCTCTCTCCCCGTGTCTCTCTCCCCGTGTCTCTCTCTCCCCGTGTCTCTCCCCCCGTGTCTCTCTCCTCCCCGTGTCTCTCTCTCCCCGTGTCCTCTCTCCCCGTGTCTCTCTCCCCGTGTCTATCTCTCCCCGTGTCTCTCTCCCCGTGTCTCTCTCTCCGTGTCTCCCTCCCCGTGTCTCTCTCCCCGTGTCTCTCTCCCCGCGTGTCTCTCTCCCGGTGTCTCTCTCTCCCCGTGTCTCTCTCCGTTTCTCCCTCCTCGTGTCTCTCTCCCCGTGTTTCTCTCTCCCCGTGTCTCTCTCTCCCAGTGTCTCTCTCTCCCCGTGTCTCTCCCCCCGTGTCTCTCTCCCCGTGTCTCTCTCTCCCCGTGTCTCTCTCCCCGTGTCTCTCTCCCCGTGTCTCTCTCCCCGTGTCTCTCACCCCGTGTCTCTCTCTCCCCGTGTCTCTCTCCCCGTGTCTCTCTCCCCGTGTCTCTCTTTCCCTGTGTCTCTCTCCCCGTGTCTCTCTCTCCCCGTGTCTCTCTCTCCCCGTGTCTCTTCTCCCCGTGTGTCTTTCCTCCCGTGTTTCTCTCTCCCCGTGTCTCTCTCCCCATGTCTCCCCGTGTCTTTCTCCCCGTGTCTCTCTCCCAGTGTCTCTCTCTCTCCCCGTGTCTCTCTTCCCATGTCTCTCTCCCCGTGTCTCTCTCCCCATGTCTCTCTCTCCCCGTGTCTCTCTCCCCGTGTCTGCTCTCTCCCCGTGTCTGCCCACTCCCCGTGTCTCTCACCCCGTGTCTCTCTCCATATGTCTCCCGTGTTTCTCCCTCACCGTATCTCTCACCCCGTGTCTCTCTCCCCACGTCTCTCTCCCCACGTCTCTCTCTCCGTGTCTCTCTCTCGCCGTGTCTCTCTCTCATGTCTCCCCGTGTCTCTCTCACCGTGTTTCTCTCACCGTGTCTCTCTCCCCGTGTCTCCCTCCCGTGTCTCTCTCTCTCTCCGTGTCTCTGTCTCTCCGTGTCTCTCCTCCCGTGTCTCTCTCTCATGTCTCCCCGTGTCTCTCTCCCCGTGTCTTTCTCCCCATGTCTCTCTCTCCCCGTGTCTCTCACCCCGTGGTCTCTCTCTCTCCCCGTGTCTCTCTCTCCCGTGTCTCTCTCTCCCCGTGTCTCTCTCTCCCGTGTCTCTCTCCTCATGTCTCTCCGTGTCTCTCTACCCGTCTCCCACTCCCCGTGTCTCTCTCTCCCCGTGTCTCTCTCCCCGTGTCTCTCTCCCCATGTCTCCCCATGTCTCTCTCCCGTGTCTCTCTCCCCATGTCTCCCCGTGTCTCTCTCCCAGTGTCTCTCTCCCCGTGTCTCTCTACCCGTGTCTATCTCCCCGTGTATCTCTCTCCGTGTCTCTCTCTCCCCGTGTATCTCTCTCCCCGTGTCTCTCTCTCCGTGTCTCTCTCTCCCCGTGTCTCTCTCTCCCCGTGTCTCTCTCCCCGTGTCTCTCTCCCCATGTCTCTCTCTCCCCGTGTCTCTCACCCCGTGTCTCTCTCTCCCCGTGTCTCTCTCCCCGTGTCTCTCTCTCCCCGTGTCTCTCACCCCGTGTCGCTCTCGCCCCGTGTCTCTCTCTCCCCGTGTCTTTCTCCCCGTGTCTCTCTCTCTCTCCGTGTCTCTCTCCCCGTGTCTCTCTTTCCCCGTGTCTCTCTCCCCGTGTCTCTCTCTCCGTGTCTCTCTCTCCCCGTGTCTTTCTCCCCGTGTGTCTCTCCCCGTGTCTCTCTCCCCGTGTGTCTCTCCCCGTGTCTCTCCCCCCGTGTCTCTCCCCCCCCGTGTCTCTCTCCCCGTGTCTCTCTCCCCCCGTGTCTCTCTCCCCGTGTCTCTCACCCCGTGTTTCTCTCTCCCCGTGTCTGTCCCCGTGTCTCTCACCCCGTGTCTCTCTCTCTCCGTGTCTCTCTCTCCCCGTGTCTCTCTCCCCGTGTCTCCCCGTGTCTCTCTCCCAATGTCTCTCTCCCCATGTCTCTCTCCCCGTGTCTCTCTCCCCGTGTCTCTCTCTCCCCGTGTCTCTCTCCCCGTGTCTCTCTCCCCGTGTCTCTCTCACTCCGTGTCTGCCCACTCCCCGTGTCTCTCTCGCTCACTCACTCGCTCACTCGCTCCCCGTGTCTGCCCACTCCCCGTTCCCCAGGCGGGGCCGAGTCTGCCCCACGCTGCACCTGCGTCTCGTCCACGAGTGAACGAATCTCCCCGCGTCTGTTTCGTCGGCTCGAGATTCTGCCCCCGAGTTTCTCCTGCGCCAAGACGCAGCTTATGTAAGTGTCTCAGTGATGGTGACCAACGACTTCCTGAGTACCAAGCGAGGTAGTCAACATCTCACTGAGTAGAGAGACCCACGACCTCCTGCATACCAGGCGAGGTAGTCAACATCTCACTGGGGTAGAGAGAGACCCACAACTTCCTGAGTACCAGGCGAGGTAGTCAACATCTCACTGGGGTAGAGAGACCCACGACTTCCTGAGTACCTGGCGAGGTAGTCAACATCTCACTGGGGTAGAGAGACCCACGACTTCCTGAGTACCAGGCGAGGTAGTCAACATCTCACTGGGCTAGAGAGACCCACGACTTCCTGCGTACCAGGCGAGGTAGTCAACATCTCACTGGGGTAGAGAGTGACCCACGACTTCCTGAGTACCAGGCGAGGTAGTCAACATCTCACTGGGGTAGAGAGTGACCCACGACTTCCTGCGTACCAGGCGAGGTAGTCAACATCTCACTGGGGGTACAGAGACCCACGACTTCCTGAGTACCAGGCGAGGTAGTCAACATCTCACTGAGTAGAGAGACCCACAACTTCCTGAGTACCAGGCGAGGTAGTCAACATCTCACTGGGGTAGAGAGTCCCACGACTTCCTGAGTACCAGGCGAGGTAGTCAACATCTCACCGGGGTAGAGAGACCCACGTCTTCCTGAGTACCAGGCGAGGTAGTCAACATCTCACTGGGCTAGAGAGACCCACGACTTCCTGCGTACCAGGCGAGGTAGTCAACATCTCACCGGGCTAGAGAGACCCACGACTTCCTGAGTACCAGGCGAGGTAGTCAACATCTCACTGGGGTAGAGAGAGACCCACGACTTCCTGAGTACCAGGCGAGGTAGTCAACATCTCACTGGGTTACAGAGACCCACGACTTCCTGAGTACCAGGCGAGGTAGTCAACATCTCACCGGGGTAGAGAGACCCACGACCTCCTGAGTACCAGGCGAGGTAGTCAACATCTCACTGGGCTAGAGAGACCCACGACTTCCTGAGTACCAGGCGAGGTAGTCAACATCTCACCGGGGTAGGGAGAGACCCACGACTTCCTGAGTACCAGGCGAGGTAGTCAACATCTCACTGGGGTAGCGAGACCCACGACTTCCTGCGTACCAGGCGAGGTAGTCAACATCTCACTGGGGTAGAGAGACCCACGACTTCCTGAGTACCAGGCGAGGTAGTCAACATCTCACTGGGGTAGAGAGACACACGACTTCCTGAGTACCTGGTGAGGTAGTCAACATCTCACTGGGGTAGCGAGACCCACGACTTCCTGCGTACCAGGCGAGGTAGTCAACATCTCACCGGGGTAGAGAGACCCACGACTTCCTGAGTACCAGGCGAGGTAGTCAACATCTCACCGGGGTAGAGAGACCCACGACTTCCTGCGTACCAGGCGAGGTAGTCAACATCTCACTGGGGTAGAGAGACCCACGACTTCCTGCGTACCTGGCGAGGTAGTCAACATCTCACTGGGGTAGAGAGATCCACGACTTCCTGAGTACCAGGCGAGGTAGTCAACATCTCACCAGGCTAGAGAGACCCACGACTTCCTGAGTACCAGGCGAGGTAGTCAACATCTCACCGGGGTAGAGAGACCCACGACCTCCTGCATACCAGGCGAGGTAGTCAACATCTCACCGGGCTAGAGTGACCCACGACTTCCTGAGTACCAGGCGAGGTAGTCAACATCTCACTGGGCTAGAGAGAGACCCACGACTTCCTGAGCACCAGGCGAGGTAGTCAACATCTCACTGGGGTAGAGAGAGACCCACGACTTCCTGAGTACCAGGCGAGGTAGTCAACATCTCACTGGGCCAGAGAGACCCACGACTTCCTGTGTAACCAGGCGAGGTAGTCAACATCTCACTGGGGTAGAGAGACCCACGACTTCCTGAGCACCAGGCGAGGTAGTCAACATTTCAATGCGTCATCTGATTTTTTGCAGAGTGGATCTGGCCAACAGCCTTCAGATTTGCCTCGACCCTCAAGCGCCGTGGGTCCGCAAATACCTCTCACGTGTCCTGCTACAGAGGTAAACTCATCACTCGCTGTGTAGTGTAGTATGTAGTAGTGTATAGTGTAGTGTATAGTGTAGTGTAGTAGTGTATAGTGTAGTGTATAGTGTAGTGTAGTAGTGTATAGTGTAGTGTATAGTTTAGTAGTGTATAGTGTAGTAGTGTATAGTGTAGTGTATAGTGTAGTGTAGTGTATAGTGTGTAGTAGTGTATAGTGTAGTGTATAGTGTAGTGTAGTGCATAGTGTATAGTAGTGTATAGTGTAGTGTATAGTGTAGTGTAGTAGTGTATAGTGTAGTGTATAGTGTAGTAGTGTAGTGTATAGTGTGTAGTAGTGTATAGTGTAGTGTATAGTGTAGTGTAGTAGTGTATAGTGTAGTGTATAGTGTAGTGTATAGTGTAGTGTAGTAGTGTAGTGCATAGTGTATAGTAGTGTATAGTGTAGTGTATAGTGTAGTGTAGTAGTGTATAGTGTAGTGTAGTGTATAGTGTAGTGTATATTAGTGTGGTGTATAGTGTAGTGTATAGTGTAGTGTATAGTAGTGTAGTGTATAGTGCAGTAGTGTAAAGTGTAGTGTATAGTAGTGTATAGTGTAGTGTATAGTAATGTGTAGTGTGGTGTATAGTAGTGTAGTGTATAGTGTAGTGTACAGTGCAGTATATATTGTAGTGTATAGCGTAGTGTATAGTAGTTTAGTGTATAGTGTAGTGTATAGTGTAGTGTATAGTAGTGTGTAGTGTAGTGTATAGTGTAGTATGTAGTGTAGTGTATAGTAGTGTGTAGTAGTGTATTCGAGTGTGTATTGTGTAGTTAAGTGTCTAGTGTAGAGTGTGTGTAGTGTTGTGTGTGTGTGTGGTGTGTGTGGTGTGTGTAGTGTGGTGTGTGTGTGGTGTGTATGGTGTGTGTGTGTGGTGTGTGTAGTGTGGTGTGTGTGGTGTGTGGTGTGTGTGGTGTGTAGTGTGTGTGGTGTGTGTGGTGTGTGTGGTGTGTGTGTGTGGTGTGTGTGGTGTTTGTGGTGTGTGGTGTCTTGTGTGGTGTGTGTAGTGTGGTGTGTGTGGTGTGTGTGGTGTGTTGTGTGGTGTGTGTAGTGTGGTGTGTGTGGTGTGTGTGTGTGATGTGTGTGTGTGGTGTGTGTGTGGTGTGTGTGGTGTGTGGTGTGTGGTGTGTGTGGTGTGTAGTGTGTGTGTTGTGTGTGGTGTTTGTGGTGTGTGTGGTGTGTGTGTGTTTGGTGTGTGTGTAGTGTGGTGTGTGCGGTGTGTAGTGTGGTGTGTGTGGTGTGTGTATGTGTGGTGTGTGGCTAATGCTGTGACTTGATGATTCCTCGTCAGTGGCTGTGCGTTCTTATTGTTATTGTTGTTGTTATTGTTGTTGTTATTGTTGTTGTTGCCAGACAGAGCTAACCACTCATTCTGCGCGTCTCTCCAGGTCCAAGGCTAATCACGGCACCACCTCCACCACCTCCTCCTCTGAGCCATAGAGGAGCTTGCACAGAGCCGTGGTGATGATGATGATGAAGATGTCGCCTCCTGCAACCCCTGCACGTCCTTCTCCTCCACCACCACCATCACCACCTCCACCACCACCACCTCCACCTCCACCACCACCTCCACCACCACCACCACCACCACCTCCACCACCACCACCACCACTTCCACCACCTCCACCACCACCACCACCACCTCCACCACCATCACCACCACCTCCACCACCACCACCACCTCCACCATCACCACCTCCACCACCACCACCTCCAACTCTACCACCACCACCACCTCCACCACCTCCACCTCGTGCTGTTATTTATTTGTGACGCGTCGCGATGAGGGGCTGAGACCTCCGCTGGCGGTGTCCTCCTGTGAACAATAAAAACCCTGCCGTGATTTATACTGCCACGTAGTGATGGTGATGATGAGGATGGTGATTGTGATTATGATGATGACTGTGATGATGATGATGATGGTGATTGTGATGATGATGATGACTGTGATGATGATGATGGTGATTGTGATGATGATGACTGTGATGATGATGGTGATTGTGATTGTGATGATGACTGTGATGATGATGGTGATTGTGATTGTGATGATGACTGTGATGATGATGATGGTGATTGTGATTGTGATGACTATGATGATGATGATGATTGTGATGATGATGACTGTGATGATGATGATGGTAATTGTGATGATAATGACTGTGATGATGATGATGATGTTGATTGTGATGATGACTGTGATGATGGTGATTGTGATGATGATGACTGTGATGATGATCATGATGATGGTGATTGTGATGATGATGACTGTGATGATGATGATGATGGTCATTGTGATGATGATGACTGTGATGATGATGATGGTGATTGTGATGATGATGACTGTGATGATGGTGATTGTGATGATGATGACTGTGATGATGATGATGATGATGGTGATTGTGATGATGACTGTGATGATGGTGATTGTGATGATGGTGACTGTGATGATGATGATGATGATTGTGATGATGATGACTGTGATGATTATGATGATGGTGATTGTGATGATGATGACTATGATGATGATGATGGTGATTGTGATGATAATGACTGTGTTGATGATAATGATGATGGTGATTGTGATGATAATGACTGTGATGATGGTGATGACGATGATGGTGATTGTGATGATGATGACTGCGATGATGGTGATAACGATGTTGATTGTGATGATGATGGTGATTGTGATGATGATGATGACGACTGTGATGATGACGGTGATTGTGATGATGATGACGACTGTGATTATGGTGATTGTGATGATAATGACTGTGATGATGATGTTTATTGTGATGATGATGACTGTGATGATGGTGGTGATTGTGATGATGATGACTTTGATGATGATGGTGATTGTGATGATGATGACTGTGATGATGATGATGATGTTGATTGTGATGATGACTGTGATGATGATGGTGATTGTTATGATGATGACTGTGATGATGATGATGATGATGTTGATTGTGATGATGATGACTGTGATGATGATGGTGATTGTGATGATGATGACTGTGATGATGATGATGAAGATGTTGATTCTGATGATGATGATGACTGTGAAGATGATGGTGATTGTGATGATGATTGAAAATGAGAATGGTTTTGCCCTTTCTGGCAATACTTAAGACACGAGTTGGGTTTAGACGTTCAAACACACGTGGCTCTGATTCTCGTAGAAGTAATAATAATAGAGCTTTGACTTTGAAACCAATAGGACTACACCAGCAACAGCAGACCTTCTTTATAACATTACAGTCTGTGGGAGGATTTGACATTGAAGTCTATGGGAGGATTTCACATTGAAGTCTATGGGAGGATTTAACATTGAAGTCTGTGGGAGGATTTGACATTGAAGTCTATGGGAGCTTCTAACATTGAAGTCTATGGGAGACTTTAACATTGAAGTCTATGGGAGAATTTAACATTGAAGTCTATGGGAGACTTTAACATTGAAGTCTATGGGAGACTTTAACATTGAAGTCTATGGGAGCGTCTAACATTGAAGTCTATGGGAGACACTAACATTGAAGTCTATGGGAGACTTTAACATTGAAGTCTATGGGAGACTTTAACATTGAAGTCTATGGGAGACTTTAACATTGAAGTCTATGGGAGACTTTAACATTGAAGTCTATGGGAGACTTTAACATTGAAGTCTATGGGAGTCTTTAACATTGAAGTCTATGGGAGGATTTAACATTGAAGTCTATTGGAGACTTTAACATTGAAGTCTATGGGAGGATTTAACATTGAAGTCTATGGGAGACTTTAACATTGAAGTCTATGGGAGACTTTAACATTGAAGTCTATGGGAGACTTTAAAATTGAAGTCTATGGGAGACTTTAACATTGAAGTCTGTGGGAGTCTTTAACATTGAAGGCAATGGGAGACTTTAACATTGAAGTCTGTGGGAGTCTTTAACATTGAAGTCTATGGGAGACTTTAACATTGACGTATATGGGAGACTTAATCATTGAAGTCTATGAGAGACTTTAACATTGAAGTCTATGGGAGGATTTAACATTGAAGTCTATGGGAGACTTTAACATTGGAGTCTATGGGAGCCTTTAACATTGGAGTCTATGGTAGACTTTAACATTGAAGTCTATGGGAGAATTTAACATTGAAGTCTATAGGAGACTTTAACATTGAAGTCTATGGGAGCCTCTAACATTGAAGTCTATGGGAGACTTTAACATTGCAGTCTGTGGGAGACTTTAACATTGAAGTCTATGGGAGTCTTTAACATTGAAGTCAATGGTGAGACTTTAACATTGAAGTCTATGGTGAGACTTTAACATTGAAGTCTATGGAAGACTTTAACATTGAAGTCTATGGGATACTTTAACATTGCAGTCTATGGGGAGACTTTAACATTGAAGTCTGTGGGAGACTTTAACATTGAAGTCTATGGGAGACTTTAACATTGAAGTCTATGGGAGAATTTAACATTGAAGTCTATGGGAGACTTTAACATTGAAGTCTATGGGAGACTTTAACATTGAAGTCTATGGGAGCGTCTAACATTGAAGTCTATGGGAGACACTAACATTGAAGTCTATGGGAGACTTTAACATTGAAGTCTATGGGAGACTTTAACATTGAAGTCTATGGGAGACTTTAACATTGAAGTCTATGGGAGACTTTAACATTGAAGTCTATGGGAGTCTTTAACATTGAAGTCTATGGGAGGATTTAACATTGAAGTCTATTGGAGACTTTAACATTGAAGTCTATGGGAGGATTTAACATTGAAGTCTATGGGAGACTTTAACATTGAAGTCTATGGGAGACTTTAACATTGAAGTCTATGGGAGACTTTAAAATTGAAGTCTATGGGAGACTTTAACATTGAAGTCTGTGGGAGTCTTTAACATTGAAGGCAATGGGAGACTTTAACATTGAAGTCTGTGGGAGTCTTTAACATTGAAGTCTATGGGAGACTTTAACATTGACGTATATGGGAGACTTAATCATTGAAGTCTATGAGAGACTTTAACATTGAAGTCTATGGGAGGATTTAACATTGAAGTCTATGGGAGGATTTAACATTGAAGTCTATGGGAGACTTTAACATTGGAGTCTATGGGAGCCTTTAACATTGGAGTCTATGGTAGACTTTAACATTGAAGTCTATGGGAGAATTTAACATTGAAGTCTATAGGAGACTTTAACATTGAAGTCTATGGGAGCCTCTAACATTGAAGTCTATGGGAGACTTTAACATTGCAGTCTGTGGGAGACTTTAACATTGAAGTCTATGGGAGTCTTTAACATTGAAGTCAATGGTGAGACTTTAACATTGAAGTCTATGGTGAGACTTTAACATTGAAGTCTATGGAAGACTTTAACATTGAAGTCTATGGGATACTTTAACATTGCAGTCTATGGGGAGACTTTAACATTGAAGTCTGTGGGAGACTTTAACATTGAAGTCTATGGGAGACTTTAACATTGAAGTCTATGGAAGCCTCTAACATTGAAGTCTATGGGGAGACTTTAACATTGAAGTCTATGGGAGACTTTAACATTGAAGTCTATGGTAGGATTTAACATTGAAGTCTGTGGGAGACTTTAACATTGAAGTCTGTGGGAGATCTTCTTTGGTTCTTTCGGTAAAGTCACCACCACGTAGAATGAGAATAAAATAATAAATTGATAAAATAAAATAACACAATAATATTCTCACGACGTTTCGGCCACAACACAAGCGGCCTTCATCAGGTGAAGGGACGAGACTGTCTGGTAGGACAGCGCTGGAGTCTATGGGAGACTTTAACATTAGAGTCTGTGAGATACTTTAACATTGAAGTCTATGGGGAGACTTTAACATTGAAGTCTATGGGAGACTTTAACATTGCAGTCTGTGGGAGACTTTAACATTGAAGTCTATGGGAGACTTTAACATTGGAGTCTGTGGGAGACTTTAACATGAAGTCTATGGAGAGACTTTAACATTGAAGTCTATGGGAGACTTTAACATTTAAGTCTAAGGGAGACTTTAACATTGGAGTCTACGGGAGACTTTAACATTGGATTCTATGGGAGTCACTAACATTGAAGTCTATTGGGAGACTTTAACATTTAAGTCTTTTGGAGACTTTAACATTGAATCAGAATCAGAATCAGAAAGGGTTTTATTCGCCATGTAAGTTCACACCGACACGGAATTTACTTTGGCAGGATGGTGCATACATTCAACATATAGGAATCTAAAATCTTAAATAAGTTTTAAACAAGTCTTACTATAATAAGGGTTAAAAGTCTAACACTAAGGGGCTGAAGTATATAAAATTAAATAAATATCGAATATAAAATAGCTTTAAGATATAATTTAAAAATACAAATAGGGAAACATAGTTATTATCAGCAACGTGTCGTTATGTAGATCAAATGTTAAAAACAGTGTTAGCCCTTGGCCTTGTTTAACAGGCCAGCAGCAGATG